TCTATATATATATATATAAATAGATAGATAGTAAACATATATTTTGATAGTCATTTTTATGTGAGCACAAAAATATTTAATTTTGACCATTAAATTAAAATAAATGGTTTGATTTAAAAAATAAAATAAAATTTTTGTACTTAATCTATATAATAAAAAATTTTAACTTACCGATTAGATCGTTAAAATTTAATATAAATCAAGAGTTGTTCAATGAAGTAAGTTTACCAAAATTTATTATTAAAATAAGTGAATCTCTCCTTATATATAAGAAGTGTGTACTATAAAAATGTCATTTTATGTGAAAATAAGAATACTTAATCTCAATTCTTAAATTTAAAATAAACAACTTAAATTAAAAAATTACAAATAAAATTATTACGTATTAACACTATCATAATTGTCTCTATTGTAGTTCTCGTTATCATCACCAATATAATTTTTGTCACTACCATTACCACTACATCATCATCACTATCACTATTACCATCGTCACCACTACCACTTAGTGGTAGTGGTAGCAGCAATTACAATGACAATATCAATGATAATATTAATAATGATAAATATAATTATGATGGTGGCAATATGTAATAACTTTATTTATAATTTTCATAGCATATGTTTTCTATATATAAGAAGGGATTCACGTAATTTAAGAATAAGTTTTAATAAATTTATTTTATTAAATAACTCATAATTTATATTAAAATTTAAAAATTCAACTATTAAATGAAAAAATTATTATATAAATCAAATGTACTAATTTTTAAAAATTATTTAATATTTTATTATATAAATTCAAATTAATATATATCTTTTAAAGCATATTATACGCATATCAAATATAATATATATATATATATTATATTTGATATGCGTATAATATGCTTTAAAAGATATATATTAATTTGAATTTATATAATAAAATATTAAATAATTTTTAAAAATTATTTAATATTTTATTATATAAATTCAAATTAATATATATCTTTTAAAGCATATTATACGCATATCAAATATAATATATATATATATATGATAAAGAATCATGTAATTTTTAAACTTAACCAAATTTTATAAATTTGATCTATTTGTTAAAAATTTTAAATTTAATAATTTAATTGTTAAAATTTAATATAAATTTTTAATTATTGAGTGGAGTAATGAAATTACTCCAAGATCTTATCCCCAGCCGTACCCTTGAAAATGATGTTTGTAATCTTCAAACTTAGATTGCAACATCAGGTGTGAATCTAATTTTTTTTACTTCTCCGTTTTGAGATGATATGATATGAAATTTAAATAAATAATCTATCAAGAATGCGACTGAATCATAAGCATGTGTTTTCGACCATTAACTCAATGTTGATTACCAGAAATAACCAGTACTTCCTCGGGAAAATATATACACTTTTATATGATATGACAAAGTTCAACTCAACAGATTAGCTCTTTGTGTGTGTGTGTGTATGTTTTTTTTCTGACATATGTTCTTAAAAAATCATACTCAATACTTTGCACGCCTTTTATTCCCTTACAGAGCTTTAGTACTAGTAACAATAGCGAAGCCTCTAAACGTTAGGGTTTTATATACGATTTTTATGCTTTCATGGTTATACTCTTCTTATCCCCTACTAATTTTAGCACAACAATTATTCAATAAATTCGAAACGCTCAATGAAAAAAAAAATGCTTAGCCATTCGAATTAAATTTATCCGAAAAAATGACCTAAACAAGCATTCTACCTATAAGAGCATCTACAATGGGAGTTGCTTATAAGCAACTCCCAACCACTTTAAATGGGTCCCATTGTGTCACGTTCTAAAATATCACCAACCAAAAATGTTGTTGTGGAAGTGTTTGTGGAGGATTTCGTTTGTAGGTTCTTTTTGTTCAAACTAGCACGAGTTCACGTTTCAATTTATGTGTGTTCGTGACATGACAGAATTGAAGACTTTCAGTAGAAAAATAAAATCGTACAAGCAACAAATAGAGTTAAATTAGGGTGTTGTTCCAGCACCTCAGAAGATCTATTCTCTTTGTCCGAGCACGCCAGAAGATCTATGCTGATTTTAGCACTTCAGAAGATCTATGCTCATTGTTCGAGCACGTCAGAAGATCTATGCTATTTTTAGCACGTCAGAAGATCTATGCTTGTTTCAGCACATCAGAAGATCTATGCTAATTATACAATCAAATTCATGCATGTAAGAATTAACGTGAATCGAACAGATGACATGTATATTGACTGCAGAAATCATATCCTTCATTAAATGGTAATAGAATTACAATTCGTAAGGATAACGAAA